CAAGAATCTCATGTTCTTTTTTCAGATTTATGTGGGGATTAGGGATAGTTTATTTTCCTGCCTGGGTAAGTAATACCCATCTCCTTGGTGGGTAAATAACTTTCCCACCTAGGGGGAAAGTTGCCAACACTTGAGTGGACCAAAATGCCCCTTTTAATAATTGATTTTTATGGCTAAAATGGTCATTGCCTTATTTACATGATAAATAAAAGAACATGGGTAAATGCACTTACTCGGGTAAGTGTTTCCTAGGAAAAACTTACCCAGGTAACTGCATTTACCTAGGTAAATAACTTACTGAAAAGAAAACGAGGCCTAAAGGTAACATTTCTCCTACTCATAAACCATTTAGGATTGAACATACATGGTTTACTAGTCCCAGTTTTACTTGCGTTGCCCCAAATGCATGGTCTATTCTATCTAGTTCTTCACATATATCTCATTATATTCATACCATAGAAAAGATTTCAAGTTTGACTAAAATATGGAATTGAGAAGCTTTTGGTAATATTTTCATAAAAAAAGACAGATAATGAAAAGAATATAAGGTGTTCATTCAAAAATTCCTAACCATTAGAGAATCATGTTTTTTGAGGAATCTTGAAAGGACCTTAAAGCAAGAATATTTGAGTATTTTTAAGGGGTTATAGCTTAATTAAGGGCAACTTTTGGGCCCTAATATCAATAAAAATAGTCCTTTTAATATAATTTTTAAAATAGGTTAACTTTTTTAAAAATATATCAAGGGCAAAAACACTGTAGTTGTTGGCTTGCTGCAAGCAAAAATAGCGAAGCCGATTCTTGCATTTTTGTATTTAGTTCTATACATCTTGCTTCTCCACTTAACATACTCGCAAACCTCTTCCAATCCCGATTTATAGGCTTCAATGGTGTTCAGAACTGCTTCAGATACTTCTAATAGGTTTAGTAGCTAGAATCAAACTGTTGATTCGTATACTTTGGTGTTTCATGTGAGGAGGAGGAGGAGGAGGAGGAGGAAAGAGAAAGATAGAGACCGAAGGTGGGGAGATTTGTTTGGTAGTTTGAAGGAGGAAGGAAATGAGTAGTATTTCTATCCTTTTTTTATATTTTTTATAAAAAATTACCCTATTCTAGAAATTATGTTAAAAATATTATTTTTATTGATAATAAGACCCAAAAGTTGCCTTATCAACTATAATCCCTATTTTAAAATAAGAATAAATCTTACTTCTTTTGGTATTAAAAGTCACGAATCCAATGGATTAAATAAGGCAATTTAAATACTTGCTTCTTCCACGTGACTAATCTTAGAAGAAGAAATTCAAATAGAATAAATATCATTAAGAATTGTCAAAATTAGTGGGTCTATGATCCTCAACAAATAAAAAATATCGTTACAAATCATTTTCAGGAATTATACACATAGGCTATGTTTGGATTGAAGCAAAAAGGTAGGGAAACCTTTACAACCCTTGTATAGGTTTCCCTGTCTTTCCCTACTTTTTCCTTCAAACCAAACATAGCCATAGGGTGACACTGAGAAACCTATAACTTTAAATCCTTACATAAAGCCAATTCAGGTGGACCAAAATTTAGTTCTTTTATCCAGTGATACCAAAAGAGATTAAACAAGCTATCTCCAGGTCCTGATGGCTTGTGGCTTATATTGGAGTTTCTTATAACAATATGGCAGACCTATGGGCTATTCATGAAGCTCTTTGAAATGCGATTAGCAAGGGGTTCATGAATCTTATAATCGAATCATACTTTCAAGCTACTATCACATCCCTCACTTCTAGATGTCCACAAAAGAAAAATGTTCTTTTTTTTAAACATCATTCTTTTGATAGATCAATGTAATGGTGTAGTTCTAAAACACTACTATAGGGAAGCAAATAGGTGTAAATATATGGATGTCCTCTTATAGATATTCTTTCTGTTATGTGGGAGGATGTCTCAGGTATATCTCAATGGCGTCAATGTAAGTTCAGGTCCGTGTAGTTTGTTTTTTTTTTCTACTCAAATGGATAGAAACAAAATCAATTGGAACCACACTTCCCCTAAGTCAAACAAGTTATCTCGTGAGGTCATAAATAAAAAAATAATATATGAAATATTGTCAAATCTTTTAAAATTATGAACATGTGTTTAATATAATATATTCATTGTATTAAACAAAAAATGTGTCTAAAAATGAGAATTATTGTTAGGGAAAATTCCCAATTAGTACCATGTACTTTGGGCCTAGTGTCATTTTGGTCCCCGAACTTTAAAATGCGACAATTTAGTACCCAAACTTTTAAAACATGACAATCCAATACTTGTCGTTAATTAGCTGTTAACCAATCGTTAAGTGGCATTTGAAAAAGAGACAAATGCCCTTTAAGTGTTATTTAATTTTCTTAATCAACCATCTAAATGTTGACAAAAAATTAGCAGTCCCAAATCCTTGCCTTTTCCATTCAAGAAAGTTGGGGTCACGTTTGAGTGGGCATTCTGGTGACTCAAACTTTCTTAAATAGAAAAGGCAAGGATATGAGACTAATAATTTTTTGTCAATGTTTGAATGATTGATAAAGAAAATTATATGATATTTGAAGGGCATTATGTCTTTTTTTCAAATGCCACTTAACGGCTCGTTAACAACAGGTATTGGGTTGCCATGTTTTGAAAGTTTGGGTATTGAGGCAATGTTTGGTTCACTGCTCTGGGGCTCAAATCTCTTAATTCTTGCTCATTCTAGGCAAGAATGGTCAAGAATGAATAACATTAGAGTGTTTGGTTACAAAATTCTTGCCAAGGGCCACATTCTTTTTAGAATGAAAAATCAGTCCCATAGCACAAAAATTGACTAGCCAACAACATGAAAAATAATCATGCCCCATCATGCTCATTTCATTCTTTAAGGAAACTCTACCTATAAAAATGTTGTCATAGATGCTTACTTTTGTGAAAGCACTTTTACAAAAGTACTCTTACGAAATCACTTTTATTAAAGTACTTTTACGAAAGCACTTTTTACGAAAGCATTTTTATAAAAGCACTTTTACGGAAGTGTTTTTATAAAATCACTTTTATGGAAGTACTTTTACGAAATCACTTTTACAAAAATATTTTTATAAAAGCACTTTTACCAAAGCACTTTTATGGAAGCACTTTTATAAAAGTATGCTACTAAAGCACTTTTATGAAGGTACTTTTATAAAAACACTTTTATAAAAGTACTTTATAAAGGCACTTTTATGGAAGCACTTTTATAAAAGCATTTTTACGGAAGTACTTTTATGAAAGCACTTTCATGAAAGCATTTTTACAAAAGTACTTTTATGAAAGTACAAAAGCACTTTTATGAAAGTACTTTTATAAAACCACTTTTACAAAATACCTATGTTAATTATTAAATATTGACTATTGGAGACCTAGGTTGGCGGTTTGTGAATACCAACACAATTTTTTTTTTCTTTGAAGAATGAAAATGAGTAAAATAGGACACTTGTTAGTCTGAAAATAATTCATTTTTAGGAAAAAAGTGTTTGGTTCATAGCAATATTTTCTCATTCTACCTATTTTTACCCATTCTTTTCTATTTTAGAATTTCATCTTGGGTAAGAATGAAAAAGAATGAGAATTAGACCAAACATGGCCTGAATTGTCGCATTTTAAAGTTCGGGGACCAAAGTGGAACTAGGCCCAAAAAAAGAAAAAAATAATTTCTTATTCATGATTATTATTATAAATAATACTACTATTGTTACTATTATCATTTGGAATTGATGCCTACAATGCACATGCATACTACTTTGGGGGTAGTGACAGATTGGTACCCTAAACTTCCAATTGCAACACTTGAGTACCTTGATCTCTCAAAAATAGACACTTGGGGTCCATCAGTTAGTATTCCATCAGTTAAACATTGCATAGTGTCAAAAATACCCTTCTCGTGTATTTTTTAGATCATTCTATGAAATAAATTCATCACTAGAGAATGTCGTCGTCGAAAAATTTGAATATGTTATTTGTTGTCCATGTGAGAACATCATCATGGGGAAACGTTCGGTTATCTGAGAATGATCTCAGAAATATATGATAAGGTTTTTTTGGCATTATGTAATGTTTAACTAACATAATACTAATGGATGGAAGTCATTTTTGTTCTTCCCTGTTCGACTTGGGCAACGGTTCGTGGGTTCTATTTTTTATTTTTCTTGTATTAAAAAACAAAAAAATTCCACCTGTATCCTAACTCCTAGTTGAATTCGTAAGGGTTAGGGTTCAAATGAAAGTCATTTTTGTTCGTCCCTTCTCAGCTCTTAGCCGCTCAGTAACCTTCGACGACCTGTGACGGCTACCACCGTGAAGTACGATGTCTCACGCGCGATCGAAAAACGACGGTTGAGGCTTCCTTTACGGTGACCTATGGTGACAAGTTGATGTATTTCTCAATTCAAGCCTAAGCCATCAAGTGCAAGGATTTGCAGCGATGACCGTCGGTTATAGACCAAAATCTATAGCGATTGGCGGTTTAATCAGTTTCATCACTGATTTGTATCAGTTTGCAATGACAGTTTCTATCTTTTTACTCCCCAACCGGAGTTGTAGCAGCAATCATTGACGACCAGACTATAATCCACTAGTAGTTTATTTTTTGTAATTTTTTATATTTTTTCGTGTTTTTTATGTATATTTTGGAAATTTTTGTATTTTTTCTATGTTTTCTATGTTTTATTATTTTTGTATATAGATAGTTTTAGTTTTCCATATGATGTTTTTTCCTGTATTTTCTGTATTTTATTTAATTTTTATATTATTTATAATTTTTATTTTAATTAATTTATGGCTTCATAGGCTGAACCTTTCGACCCGAACGATTGAACCGCCGACACACCCGGAAAACGGTCCCCTGGCCGGTTCTGTTTCCGGATCGGTTTTCAAAACCTTTTTTGAGAGGGACAAAATAAGAAACGAGTAATATGAAAATGGGTAAAATAGGAAATAGAATTAGGGTTTTGAGGTCCATGAGCCATGATTCAGAACCATATAAATCTAATCTGCAATCCAGTCCTAGGGCCGGGACGTGCAACTTCGGGCGATTGGGTGCTTCTCTTCATTGAAAGCCAGCGAAAATGGTACTTTGATCTGCTCCCTTTCGTTCTGGTTTACGTTCTTGTTCTATGCAATCGTTTATATGATACGTTCTATGCTGTTTTGGTTCTGTTTATTCGATTCTCGTCTTTGATCTGATTCAATACATGCGGTAAATTTACTATTTCCTTTACATCTTGAAGTTAAATTAGGGACAGGGTTTCGTCGGGTTTTTCGTACTGGTGATAGTACGAGTAGCTGCAATGTGACTTAGATTTGTTGCATTTTTCAACCATCTTTAGGGTTTAAAGGGTCGACATGAGATGGACCTGATGCCCTACTGCAAGGGCTTTGAATCTGCTGCAGTTGTCTTAGTAATTTTGGGTAGTTTTAGAAAGCTAGATGTTTAAATAAAACTAATCGACTGTGCATCTAACTGTTTTGCAACTTGTCCACATTTTTTTTGTTTGGGGCTAAGCTCTGCAGTATGATAATGGTAGAAATCGTATAATTGTTGATTTTCGATTAGAAATTGTCATTGAATAATTGGTGATGCTCGATTCATGTGTACGCTAGTTTGAAAGTTCATTGTTTTGTTGGGATCCTCACTGTTATTGTTCAAAAAATCATTACTAGGGCAGGTTGTGTGTGATATGAGAGATGCTCATCGTTAAATCGAATAGTTTTGAAATGTATTTTAGATAACATTGTTACTATTTGGTTGCATTTGGTCTATTGTTTGTGTAGGGAAGGACTTATTTGCTTGGGTTTCAATTGATGAGGGTTAGACCACCCAAGATGTTTAATTTTAAATATGTTGGTTCTTTTACATGCAATTTATTTGATTATACATTGTCCATGTGTGTATATTGTTATGCCTAGCTTAGGAAACTTGGTAGTTGGTGCTTGATAGGCATCAGATTGAAACTTTTTTTCTCACTCATAAGGTCGCATCTATGGTACCTGTGATGGAAAAGTAATCTATTTTCCTGTCCTGATTCAAGTATTTATTGCTTGTGGTGATTGGAATGTTCTACTTTTTATATTTCTATTAATCAGTTTTGAACTCTTGTACCTTCAATTAATTGTTCTTTTATTTACTGATGAATTTGATTCTGTTTACAGCCGAAGCAGATCCACGAGATCAAGGATTTCCTTCTGACAGCAAGAAGGAAAGATGCACGGTCTGTCAAAATCAAAAGAAGCAAAGATGTGGTTAAATTCAAGGTCCGCTGCTCCAAGTACCTGTACACACTCTGTGTGTTTGACTCGGAGAAGGCAGATAAGTTGAAACAGTCTCTTCCTCCAGGTTAGTATCTCTATTTTCTTTGTTCCATATGGTTGTTTTCCTGGAAAAACTTGGATGAATAAGTATGTAAATTGTTCTGTTTTAGGAGAAATCCTACAGTGCACTTGCTACTTGGTGTATTTAAGTTCATTTACCTTGTCTCTCCTTAACTGTGCATTGTGGTTAGGAAAATTTTGCAGCTTATTCACTACTGAATTTGCAAGTGTGGTATTTTCCAGTGTAATCATAGTTTGTAACAACTTGCTATATGGATATTTACTGCATACTTCCCATAGGTTTATATGGAAATTTAGTCAATTACTAACATGCTGACACCTCTGATCACTTGAGCACCCAATGGATCTTGAAGTCTTTATATCACCTGATGATATGGAAATTGGAATGTATTGCTACGAGGTAGAGAATGGACAAATTACTTGATATTGAGATTCATTTTAATTGAACCTGGATTTTCTGGAACTTGCTCACCCTAAAAGGATTTCTAGAACCTGATTTGAAAATGTATGTCATATTGACCTGGAAAGTAATCTTACAGCTATATATTTTGAATGGTAAAACTTGGCTGGAATTATATGGGTTTGTTGCTTGTTAAGAGGAAACACAGTCTAGAGTGAGAACAATGGTTTGTGATCAAGGGTGAGAAAACCAATTATATTGGCACCCAGATTCATCGTCTGCAAAATGCAAACTTAGCTGTTATGAGTGCTTTTTTGTTGTTGTTGATGCTGAGATTGTGCGTTTGTTACCTATTTTGCAGGTCTGAGTGTCCAAGATCTGTGAATGAGGAGGATCTGAGCATGTTTCTGGGAGCTAGAGTTGTTGCTTTCTTTAGGTTCAATGTTACGTATTTTGAATTTATACTAGTGAATGTTGACAGTATATTTTTGGGGGTGATTTCGCCTTGATTTTGAACAGAGCACTATTAATTTTGATGTTCATTGATTGCGTCGCCTCACAGTCGCCATTTCTCTGTTAAATGCCAGCTTCATGAGCCAAGTTAAACCAAGGAAATTTGTTTTATATATAACTTAAAAGGGAAGGCCGTGAAGAGTACCTTGTAGCCTGTGGTCAACCTTGATTTCTGAATAGACTTGTTTTTGATCTAAAAAATGGAGAAATTAGATTATCGTCATCCTATTAGAAAAAGATTCAAGTAAAATGAAATGCTTTTCAGGTCATTGGTTAATTTATTAATGGATTGTTAACAGTTGAATCCGATCCAATCCGGCAGAAGTGTAATGGATTAGATTCTATTCGATTTAGATTGTTGGTATGATAGAAATCCAACCCATGTGTTTTACCATCATGCCCAGCCTTCTTTTAGATTGAATCTGGGCATTGCATGATTTGAGGTCAAAAGATGGGAATTTGTTGACTCATGAGTCATGACTGATACCTGAGGTTCAATTATGCCTTGTAAGCTTTTTGTACTGGAAATCAAAATAATAAAATGGAAGGTTAGGGCATTGGCCAATGGGTTCAACCAGGATGCGACATCATACCTAAAAAAGCCCGAACGCTAGATTCGTGCATCCAGTCTCGGTTAAGGTGTAGTGGAAAATCTGGGACACAAGTCCACCTATACTCAAGAGGTAACATCTGAGCCCCACGGTGATCCACCGCACATCCTCGCCGTGTATTGGTAACATCTCTCGATGATGATGTCAGTTCTGATACTATTCTGATACTATCATTGAGAGATGTTTCCAATACACAACAGGATATGCTGTCATCATCGGGAGATGTTTCTAATACACGATAAACGTGCTGTAGGGCATAAATCTAAACTTGTTTACAATATGAGCTGCTTGATTGGCATCTAGTGGAATAGCAGCGAAGTGATCTAAATTAGAAGATGAAGCATTCACGGTGGAATCAAATTGTCCACCAACAGAAGTCGAATAATTGATTGAGCATCGCCTTCTAGCAATACTTGAGAGAACCCATATGGGAACTGCGAAGCAAGCAAAAGTAATACTTTCGAAAGCAACAACTTTGGGGGTACACTAAGGAATCCGGTAAGACCACAATGATCTCGTACCACAAGCTCGGTAGAAGCAGCAGAGGCCAGTGGCTATGAAACATTGAAACATTTATCTTTATAATGCCGGTTGGAGGTTTACACAATTACACAATTGACGCCCTAGAGGAATAGAGGCCTCCTGAGGAGCAAGTATGGTAGTGTCACTGTCAAGTACTTCGTTTATTACAAGTAGATGAATCTGAGAATGACATTTTGTGATGACTTGTATGGGAATAAAAAAGGATATCTTCAAAAAACATGTGAGTTTCGATCATGCCAAATTCGGTTCACAACTAACAACACCTCGTATAAAGTAATAAACATCCATCTGTAGTTCGCTGAGAATTCTTTTCTTGCTTCCACCAAAATAATATATGATCACTCACATCAAAATTTGGGAGAACATCTAGATGGAAATGCCACTCAAAGCCAAACCATATGGGGATGCATTGAAAGGGAAGATAAAGTGCTATAGTCATGCTCTAGTAGAAAAGATATTTAATACACTCTTCCAAATGAATAGTTTTAGCGAAGGAGGCAAGAACTGCATGCAACCTAGATGTTTCCATTGCATGTCCTCATGTAGCGGTGGTAATTGGGCTGGTTGGGTTGGGTTTGATTTGAATTGAGTTTTAACCTAATTCATCTAATCCGTCAACCCATTAATGATCCAATTATATAAAATTAAATGGGTTGGGTTCAACTCAAATCCGCTTTAACTCAATCCAATCCGTCCAAACCCATTAATCTTATATTTATGTACTTAAAACAAAAAACTCTCTCTCTCTTGACAAATAAGTTGGTCATAGCTTGGTGGTAATAGTAGTTTCTATTTACATAAGTGGTGAAAGTTCAAATCACATTATGTACATGTTATTATTACACAAGTGGCGAAGCCATTTGACTATGTTTGGGCTTTGGGTTTGACCGAACCACTTAGGTTCAAACCGATTAGACCAATTTGAACTATCTAATTGGATTGTCTTTGAGGTAATCACATCGAGAGTGGTTGAACCGTTTGGATTCGGATCAGTCTTGTTGGACCAAACCAGATCGGTTCAATCAATGGTAGATTGACTTGGCCGGCCCTTATCAGGTTTGTGCATGAGTTTGGGTTGAGTTGTACAGATACGAGCCGGACCGGGCGATCCAAACCAGGCAAAGCAAGCATGGTAGATTTTGGGTCGGGTTGGACTGAACCATCCCACCTGGTCCCGTTTTGGATCCTGGTCAACTTGGATCGGCCTGCCCTGGGCCGGGTTGGGTTCAAACTGGGCTGGGCGACCCAAACAAACCAAACTGAGGTGATTAGGTCTGTTCATATTTAGACCAAGTTGAATTGGTCCAGACTCAGGTCAAGTTGATTTAAATTTATGTCAATTTGGGTGAAGTGTTAATTTGAGACAAAACTAATTTTAATCAACAATTAATAGAAAATTAATGCATTAATTATAAATTATTTCATTCAAATGAAGAAAATAAAAAAAAGACTAAGAAATTAATACTTATATCTTTAGTGGTTAATCCAATAGTTATCCACAACCCAACCCGACCCAACCCAATCCATTAAAATTGACCTAATGGGTGATCAATTCCATTTCGAACCCGCCAAATAAATGGACAGGTTGGGTGGATTAGATACTGGGTAGGTTGGGTGAAAAATTGTCACCCCTATTCTCATGTAAGAAGGAACTAATAGAGCCACTAGGCAAGTCAACCATTTATGGTAATAGGTTATCAATCAACTGTTATTTGTAACATTTGTGGGGGTTGTGATTGATCAAAGTTATTTTTTGTATCTTACCTTTCTAGAAACATAGATGTTGCCACTGTTAGTGCAAAGGAAAGAAGAATTGTAAATTGACTCATGGTATGGTATGCATAAATTAGACGTAGTCCAGGATGGCGGTAGAACTGCACAATGTGGGCTCTATCTCGTTTACTTGGACTAGAGATTATTTTTTAGCATTTTTTTAATGTTCTCTATGTTTGCAGACGTTTATGCCACCTAGCTGTTGAACATCCGTTTCCTCCAAGGCTCCAACCCTGTATTGATAAGGCACTACAGTACGGGGTGAATTTGGTGATGCATGGTTAACTCCATATCCTCCACNGGGGGGGGGGCAAAGCTAATATGATTGTTCAATCTAATGCATGATTTTAAATACTAAAATAAGGAATTCTATTATATATTAACTATAGAATACATAATTTATATCTAACTAACTTATATATTCTATTGTGAAAGAATGAGAGTATAATGAATAAAAAAAATTATACCTCTTCACTTTTTAAGTTGGGTTTATTGCACTTTCATCAAGTAGAAATCATCTATAATCATGTCTACGGTATAATTTTCAATAATTCCTCTTTCAATGTAGACAAACAAATAATTTGTGAGAAAGTCATCTTCCATCCTATTGCGAAACCTGGTTTTAATAATTTTCATAGCTGAAAAACTTGCTCAATAATTGTTGAAATGGGAAGAGTCAAAATAAGTCGAATCAATCTATCAATTAAATGATTAATTTTTCACTTTTTAGTTGCCACCAATCATCGACATAAATCACTAATGGTAGACAAGTTCTGCAAATTTGGATGGTTGGGCACATCAAGCTTATAATATTGCAATTGATATCTCAATTGATTTTTTTCTTGATCATAAAAATCTAAAGGATAAAATTTCTCGACCAAATTACATATACCATCAACTTTGAAGGATTTATAAGCATCCCTAGGATCTAAAGTTGTATTCAAAATAAGAAGCATTGTTTCTTGTTCACTGAATATGCTATTTAAATCTTGTAATTGATGATTCATAGCAAATGTAAATATATATATTCGATAATAATGCTCCATTATCACAATATCTTTTTGGCAAAAAGATTGAATTATATCTAAGGAGCATTCATATTAGGAGTTTGAATATCTTAGTGCTGACAAAACGATGCCACACTCTCTAAAAGAGCTTCTCAACTATCATCTGTCAATTTTTGTATCAACAATTTTGTTGTAAAGACTAAATGCATAACTTGAAATTTCTTTTGTAAACCCTGATAAAGTACATTAGTAATTTCCATTATCTCCTTCATCACATGTAGAATAAATATAAAATCAAATGACATTAGCATTTTTACAACAAAAGTAGCATTTCCACACTAAGAATATATGGATTCTTTAGTAACTATGTTTTTTGAGAAATGAGAAAGTTGCATTAAACATCCTCATTAGACTACAAATTGAATTAAAATGAGAACTTTACCTAGTATTTGCAAGTCGTTGCAAAGTGTCAATTTGATTAATCTCCCTTGTATTTCAATATCATCAATTGCAATCAAACGTGCAATTTCAGCTGCTTGGATAACTTGTAATTTATCATTAAACTTGTAGAAAGCATAAATGATCTTAGCAATAAAAGTTAGGTTTTGAAAGAAAGTGTAAACTTCAACTATTTCTCTAGATGCAACAATAAGAGGTAGTTATAATTGATAGGTTAAGTAATGCACATAATATGTATAACAATCCTTAAGAAATAAAATTTATTGGTCACTCCATTTTCCACGCATATTTATAGCTTTGTGATACCCTTGATCTCAAATATTTTGAATATTGAGGTTGTGACGAGATAAAACAAATGAAATCTTTTTTCTTTTTTAAGAATTAACACAGTTGTATCTTTAACATGTACCAAATCTAAGAACATATCCATCGCCATCAACAAGCATTACAACAATGACCATTTTCCCTCTTCTAGATTCATCTTGAGCTTCATCAAAGATTAAGCAAAATTTTGCATCTCCAATTTCTTTGTGAATTAAACTTTGCACATTTCTAGCAAAAATATGAAAAGTTTCTTTTTGAATTATTGGTGATGTGTATTTAGATAATCTAAAATTTGTTCTAAAGATTGCTTCTCCATCACCTTAATTAGATA